TTATTGATAAAAAGATAAAATATACTTCTTCAATCCTTAATATATAAACCTAATTATTGAGTTAATTTTGGTCTTAAATATAAGATCCATTTCTCATAATTATCAATTTTTCTAAATTATCTTTATAGATACTCCCTAAACCATAATTACGTAGAAGGAAGAAGAGGAAAAATATTAAGAAAGATGATATAGTGTTTTAAAAAAATGAAAAACGGTTATATTTTTATCTAAATAACTTACCTTACTAACTCTCTTAATCTAATCAAATTAGTTAAATAGGTCTTATATTAAAAGACAAATAAAAGTTCACATAATAGCAGTACATGCTGGCCTATATAATGATCAGGAAAGTTAAACAAACAGAAAGGAAACAGACAAATTATGGTTATTACAGGCTTACCAATGTAGATAGCAAGAAAAGCAAAAAATATTATGATCAACTTTATTTATGGTCTGAAACTCAGATGGGAGCTATCAAAACATGATCATACACGCATGTATGAACTTACGAAATCTTTATAAAATGTTTAATTTGAGTCAAATTAAGAACAAATGTCGTCATTATTAAAAAACAAATATTCCTTTCTGATAATAAAAAATAAAATAAAAAAAAAAGAGAAGAAGATTGGTTATCATGGGTAATTTTACAAAAATGAAGAAATGAAGTCTGGGTCTCGTCACAGCACGCGAGTTTTGAACTTTGAATCCCCAAGTTTGACGGACTTTGTCCAGTCGGCTACTCGGTAAGACCACCTTCTCATTTCTCAAAGTAATATTTATATATTTTTATTTTTAGGAAATAAAACGACAAATTCTAAAGGATTCTAAATATGTTGCGACCAATCCAAAATACCCGAAAAGACCTTCAAGTCAAAGAGTGTCTCCTCCGACTTTTTTTTCTTTGGTGGAAAACCACCCGGTATCCAACCGTGCTTTTTCTGGGCCCCGGTTCATGGACGGATGTACCCGCTAAACGATCAACTAGTCCGGATTCGAGGGTTCGGAATGCCGCCCTGCCAACAGGGGGGGTTGTCCCTCTCCCAACGAAAGCGCTTCCCGGGAATCAAACAAAGGTTCTCATCCTTACGGGGGGCGAGCCAACTTACCAGCTCGACCAACTGCTCGTTCGTCTCCGACCTTTTTTACCTGCTCCCAGACAGACGCATCCCCAAAATGGTTGAAAGTGAAAAAAACTTGAAAATTAAAAAATTACACGTCATAAGATAAATGGCTTCAGTATTTGTAAAGCAAGTCACAGGGTGGGACCCACTAGTCGAGAGAATTTCCCTTCGACAAGCAAAGCTATAATATTGTTCTCATGGCAAACTGGCAAAATTCCATGGGAGCCCTATCCTCCCCATCTCCCAATCCCATCCAGGCCGCACAATCCAAACTTTCCTTTTTTACGATTCCTCTCTCCCCCACCCCCCTCTCCTCTTCCTTTAATTTAATGCCTCTTTTTTTTTTTTTACCATATCATCCCAACTATTTCTGCAAAATAATACCAAAAAAGCAACCCAGAAAAAAATAATAAAAGAATTTGTCACCGTCACGCGCGCTGTAACCAGCGAATACGATGCCAACAGCAATATACTACTTCCCCAGTCCCCACTCCAAGCGTCTCTCTCTCTCTCTCTCTCTTGATTCTGTGGACATTCCACCGCACTTTCTTTATCTCTTCCTTTCAGCTTTTGGTCTTTGCGGGGCTCAACTATCTTACGCGTCCACCACGCTCCTTGCCTTCTTTATTTCTCCAGAACTTGTTGCCCTCTCTTCTTCTTCTTCTCAGCCTTGTCGTCCTCCCAGATCTGTGTATTTCGCGTCTTGCCCAATCCTTCTTCTTCTTCTACTACTGCTACTTAAAGCTTGGATTTTTAACTCTCTCTGTGACTCGGAGAAGATTCAGAAAATGATGGACCCTGGGCAACGCCGGAAGAGGAAGCGTGTAGGTACTGGCGCGCTTTCTCCCTGACCAACTACTTCTCCTTGAGGTCCTCTTTTTCTCTGCTCCTCCTTCTTCGTCTTCCTCTTCTTCTTATCCTCCGATCGCTTCTCTATTTCTTCGTCACCTTTCGCCCCCCCATTATCACATCTCCCTTATCACTTTTGTCCTCTTCTGCGAGTCGCTCGGTTCTAGCCTCTTCTGACCCCAGATTGCTCCCCTTGAGAGTTGAAGATCGGATTGTTTTCCCTGACCATGTGGTTTTGATGGTAAGCAACAAAATTCTCCGGCGGAGCCAAGATTTGGAGTGTATATACTACAAGCTCTTCAACGGTTCCTCTGACGAAGGCCAGTAACCAGCTCGCCGATATTCAAACTCAGTCCGTGCTGTCCACCGACGACTACGATGAGTTCAGATCCATTGTGAGGTGCCCAATTCCCCAGATGAACTATTCAGCCGCCGCCGTGGATTTGCGCCAGCGTGGCGAGGTGGGTCGCCGGGATTGGGACTCGCTGGTGAACCAGACTGCTCAGTCATGGGACAAGGTGGCGTATGAAGCGATTTTGGATGGGAACACCACCGTTGTATTTGTTAAAGGATTGAATCTTCGACCCCACAAGATATCAGATCCGACCAACTTCCTCTGCCACTTTGGTTGAAGAATTTGGGCAAAGAAAACAACTTTCTGCTCACAACCAAAGCAGTTTCAGTTGCTCAAGAAGTGGTGAGATGTTTATTGCCCGGGGTATCAGAAACAGCCCAGATAAGGCTCAGGGAATTCGGGTTACCGTCAGCCATTTGAGCGGCCACATAAGGCGCCCGGTTCGCGAGTTTATGCCTTCTGTGGCAAGAGTTCGAAGCTCAAGTCCTCAAGCTCAGAAGAGAAAAGGAAAGACAAAGAAACATGAGCTTTGTGCTTGCACTATGGTGTGGAACCAGGCATCTGCGCTAAGAGAATGGATTATGTACCATTCCTGGCTTGGAGTTGAACGATGGTTCATCTACGACAACAACAGTGATGATGATATAGAGAAGGTGATTCATGAACTTGACCTGCAAGGGTATAACGTTAGTAGGCAAACCTGGCCATGGATTAAGACTCAGGAAGCAGGCTTTTCTCACTGTGCTTTGAGAGCAAGAGATGAGTGCAAATGGGTCGGATTCTTCGATGTTGATGAGTTCTTTTACTTCCCCAATGAATTTCATCACCAGTTCGGGCATGATGTTGCTGGTGAGAACTCACTCAAATCTGTGGTAGCAAACTTGTCATCCTCAAGAATTGCAGAGATAAGAACAGCTTGTCATAGCTTTGGTCCTTCTGGGTTGCGCTCGCCACCTAAAAGAGGAGTGACTATAGGGTACACATGCAGGCTTCAGAGCCCTGAGAGACACAAGTCAATAGTGAGGCCAGATTTGCTTGACACTAGTCTTCTGAATGTGGTGCACCATTTTCAGCTGAGGAATGGATACAAATATCAGAACATGCCTGAGAGTACTGCTATAATAAACCACTACAAGTATCAGGTGTGGGATACCTTCAAGGCCAAGTTCTTCAGAAGGGTTGCTACCTATGTGGTTGACTGGCAAGAAGACCAAAACAAAGGATCAAAAGATAGAGCACCAGGGCTGGGAACAGAAGCCATTGAACCACCTAACTGGAGGCTGCAGTTTTGTGAGGTTTGGGATACTGGCTTGAAGGACTTCCTTTTGTCACGTTTTGCTGAGCCTGTAACGGGGGTTCTACCCTGGGAAAGGTCATTCCTATAAATATGGGGATATTATTCTATCAGGGTCACCAGGCACCCTTGTAAAGCACAATACCATAGCCGTAGGCATTCATTCTTTTCATTGTTTTTGGGGGGGATTCTAGGTAACAGAAATTTTGTTTTCTTCTTTCCCCTCTCTTGTTTAATGATTTCTATAAACATGAAAACATACTTCACAGGGCTCACACGGCTGTATATTAGCAGCAATATGAATGGATTCCTTTTTTTTCACTTTTAATTCATTCTTCTCCAGTTGAATGATCCCTGTTTGTTTCCTGTCATGTCATCCATTAGCTGTGACATTTTCAAGCCGGCAAAAACATGATTATTATCAATGATTGAACGAACATAATTACGATAATGCTCTGAAGCAAAACAAGATTGGTACTCAGTCAAAGTTCTTTCCTGCGCATCTCGAGGATTTCTATCATTTGACAAACCTAGAGGTGTCGAAAGACATGTCCAGAAAACAACGAAAACACAAGTTTTCACGTTAATTCACTCATGCACGGAACTTGTCGAGATTAGTATTTTTTAGAGAGAATAATAGGCGGATGGCCAGCGAAGAAAACCAAAAGCCGAAGAGCAACAGGTGCTACAACATTTCTAGAAAGTGTATATTATCCCCTTTAATTTCGGAACTTGGAATGCGGATGCTCTTCAAGGTAGTTTGGTTGAAGGTATATTATTGGTAAATATGCTATTTAACAACCTAAAACATTCAATCCCAACTTCATTATATTGCAAACTGCAAGGAAAAGACTGACAGAACATGATAAAGTTCTAAATTTTCAGTATACTGAGCAACCGTAACATAATGGATTAGATGTAGACATAACGGTTTCTAGAAACCACAAACCTTGGATGTCACTGTATTACCTCTAGTTCTTAATATAAAACTTAATTAACTAATTTAGAGAGATTAAAAAATTAAATTAATTATTTATAATAAATAAATATTTTTTTTCTTAAATACCGTTGCTAATCATGTTTATTGATTAAAACTATCAGTTGATATAACTTTTAACATGTACAACTACTACAATGATTATTTCAAAAAATAAATAAGTATTAAAAACAAAATGGTAGAATATTATGAATTAAAAATCAAATTAACTCTTGTACTAAAGATCGTAGTATTATATATGAATACTACGAATGATTACAAATCATAGTAGAACTGCCTTGTGTTTTTGTGTGCGCGCGCGCACCAGAGAGTAGTGGTTTTTTTTTTTTTTTTTTTGAGGGATCTGTTAGGGATGATGTGTATGGGTCAATTTGACCCTCCCAATGGCAACGAAATCAACTGAAATATTTACGATAGATGGACGCTAAAATCTAATATAATCAAAATATCATAGGTTACATCGCATGCTTTTCCCCCTAAATTCAATACCTTTTAACGTCTTCAAATTGAATCTTGTAAAGTAAGTTGAAGCTGCCTCGCATGTTTTGCAAGGGTAGAATCCAGCTTTTCTCCAATAAGAGTAATCCATGCCTGTAATCAATTTAATATTTACGTCACCAACCCACATAGTATGCATGCAAGTTACTGAGTTTGATCACTGGGGTATATGTTATGGGCATTAATTATGTGCAAAACCTAAAAATTGTACTGATAGCATTGTCATGTCTTGGAGACGGAGAATTTGAACCTTGACATCCTCAAGAACCATAATTCTATAATCCTAAATTTTTTGGATTTCAAGCATTAAGACGTTAAATTTAACACCATAGCATGTCGCATTTTGACAAATGTTAAATTTAACACCAACACAAAGATGAGAGCAATTTGACAAATTTATATCACCTCCTGGTCAATTTATTTAAAAAAATTTGTAGTTAAATTTTAAATATAAGTTGTTTCTTATAAAACAATCCGGAGGCATTATATCCTAAAAATGAGGACATAAATGTTATGCAACTATACCTGGTCAGAAGTAGTGAAACCCCGTATTGTGTCACCACCAATAATTGCAATTCCTTTGTCTCCAAGTGGTTGCAAAATTACTGCCTAGAAACATAATAATTGTGTTGGTAAAAAATTGTAAAAAAGTTACTATATAATTTTAAATAAAAATAAAATATTATGAGATGAAAAATATTTGCAGTGTGTATATATTTATCATCCAGTTGCCCACTGGCATCCTCTTCCTAATGCTTATGCATAAATCATAGCTTAGAAACAAGACTTGATTTAAAAAAATGAAAAATTTTTGAAAACCATGACTCGTTTGAACTATTTAGGCTATCAATTTTATGGGTTTTGACTAGTTCATGATTGACTACACTGATACATTTTTGTTCGTTTTTCTTTGCTTGTTTCTTCCTCGGGCATCCATACTAATGACAAGTGTGACATTTTTTTTCTTCTTTTGGTGTTTCGAAGGTGGGTGGGGAATTTTTGACAACCAAAGAATTTTCTAATGCCAAAGTATAGCTGAAGCCATTGAACTCGACATTTTCTCCACATCGCCTAGTCAAATTCAATTAAAGGGATCAGCTCCCAGAAAATCAAGTACACTTCTTGTCAAACTGTTGAGAGACAAGTGATTATATATACTGATTCCTAAATCATCTACTATTTTTTAATTTTTTTTAAAAAAAAAGTTCATGTTCGAGAAATACCTTGAATATCTGTTTAACATTTAGACAGACACAATTTAAAAGGACTCGCATGGAAATCTCTCAGGTTAAGAGAAAAGGCAGTGGAGTGGCAGATGTTAATATATAAACATGATACCTGAGTGTTTGAAGGCAAAAATGGCAGCTCAGACTTCCCAGGATAAAGAGATAGGTTAGCCAAGTAACTCTCTGCACATTTAGATAAGACTTGGTTAAAATTCACATTAACATGCATCTCCCTGAATTACGATTGACTTGTCTAGCGGTCAACTATTATATAAAATAAAGAGTTAACGAAGGCTCAGTGTTTTAAACATACGAGCCCCAGATTTTATAACACCCTGATATAATGTTCCTCGCATTAATTTATCGGCATCCACATTAACGGCCTCCCCCTTCCTAGAAGAAGCTTCTGCTGCGCAACCAATTTGAAGCACACAAACGTTTTCATAAACAATAACAAGTGATCTGCAGCGTGTGACATCTGATAGAGATTCCCACACCCTAAGAATAGAGGACCAAATAAACCATTAGTAAAGGAAGCAGTAAAGCAATAAATCCTTGCTTGTACATGAATTTTTACCCTAGTGCATAAATCAAGATGATTTTTTTGGCTTCAAGTCATATCGACACTGTTATCATCACATGTAGAAGACCTTGCTATAATTTCTAATGACATGAATACAAAGTATGTAAAAGCATCACACATCATTGCATAAGCTACAGTTTTTTTTTTTTACTCATTCATCATCATATCCAAATTGGAAGTTCAAATTATAAGAGATATGAAGTCTAAGAGACAATGTTGGATTTAACTTCTAGAGATGAAGAATGCACTGGAGTCAACAGGAGGAAGGATGAATGCAAATAAAGTTGACAGGCGAATATAATGTACATTACCAGAGCAGCTCAGTAACTGCATAGTCAGGGAGAGGACTACACACCCTCTTACATTCAACTCCTTGGGGATCTACCTATATAAGAATAATAGGAAGAAAAGTTTTGAATAAAAACTAAGAAATATAAGAATTTAGTCAAGAAGAGGGAAGGGAGCGCTTCAACTTAAGATGCAAGGAGCTCACCGTAGCAATAGATTTTGGTCTTATAGACAGCCACACCAGACCAGTTAAGACATTGGTGACAGCCAATGCTACAGTCAAGAGGTCCGCTCTAGATTGTGAACTGCAGCAGAGTATCAATTTCTTAAGTGTTAATTAGAACAAGCAACTCAAAGATCTCACTATGTACATGATCTGTTACAATACTTCCACCAAGGTAGTTAAGCCTTTCAACCTTCGGTAACAGAACATCCCACAACTCGTTATATCACGCAATCAAAGATTAGCAGCTTTTCCAATATTACATGCCATTGCGACTCACCTTACATTAGCAACATTAGGAAATAACTTACCTAAGTACAGTTATTCCATTTTAATCCTTAAAGATTAATAGGCTACAATGCTGAATTTTAAATTCCAAGCATGGATGGATGAGGATGTAAATGGTGGTCTGGTTTTGAATTATGAGATTTCAACATTGTAGTTTAAAGGCAGAGGCGGCAATAGGCCGTCGATAGTTAAATATCAAGTGACAAAATGAAGATGGAGTTAATTTAATATGTACTTTCACTGTATGATGAAGAATGCAAAAAAGGAAGAAAAATGGATTTGCTTGTAGAAAGTGGGAATCACGTTTTACAGTTTATCAATGCAAATTTTGTCTCCATTAATCCGAATTATCCAATGCTATATTTTGTTTTCTTCTCAAAGGAAAACACGTGGTGTAACTCCCAGCAAACTAATTCAAGCAATACAACTTTAGCATACCAATATAGATTGCGGCAATCTTACATGACAACGCAAACTACAAAGCCCCAATAGAAATTAAACTGAATCGTAAACGAAAAACATTAAGCTAGAGCTCAACAATCTACTTGGTCGAAATTCCAAAATATAAATATATATATATATATATGTAAATGTGTGTGTGTGTGTGTGTGTATGGGAACCTGCTAGCATCAGCAACAGGAGCGATGCCATAAAGGGCGCGATTAAAGAGAACGACCAAGAGGGAAGCGGCGCCAATGTAGATGGGTAAAGTACGAACAGTGTCGTCGTTCTGGGAGACCCAATCGGCGATCCAGTCTCGTTTGGGCTTGGGCACTCTGTAATTAGGTTTGGAATTCGTGATTGGAGAATGGAAGAAGAAGACGACGAGGATGAAACCCGAAGTGGAACGAGAAAATTGGAGGACGAGAAGGAAATGATGAGGATTTTGCGGCGGGTCGAAACGAAGTGCGAGTAAGGAATCGACAGTTGAGGAGACTTCCCGCTTCCATCGAAGTCATGAGCTTCGCATTTCCAAATGCTGGCAGCAAACGGATAAACCGCCCTTTTGCCTTCTCTGCTTTGAGGGAGAAAATGAACTGAAAATCATTAATATTAAGAATCAATGCCGCATGCCATATTTTTAATATAAAAACTAATTAAATAATTTGAATAAATTAAAAAAAATTAATTAAGTTAATTATTTATAACAAATAAGTATTTTCCTCTAAAATACCGTTATTAATTAAATGTATTAAGTAAAATTATTATTTAATGAAACTTTTAATACATATGATTACTACACGAACTACTTTAAAAAAAAAAAATAAATATGATAGACAAAGTGGATTGAAACCTTATATTTACCATCAAATTGAAGATCAGACTAGCTCTTATATTAAGGACTGGAGGTAATATAATAGGTAGAAATTAACTTGTTAAAATTTAAAAGGAAAAAAATTAAGCTTTTGATTCATATTTTTTTTAATTTTGTTGTGACTCAATCTCTAAACCATAAACTAATAAAATTATGACTCTATACAACTCAATTCTTATAATTTTAATTATTTAAAGTTTTAGTTGATATATTTAGAAAAATAAATATATATTTTATGAAATTTACGAATTAAAATTTTAAATTGTTTAAACTACAAGAATTAAATTACATCAAGTCAAAATTAAAGAACTATGTTACATAAGTTTTCTTAAAGCACTAAGTTATACTAAGTTAAAGTTTATGAATTATGTTACAAAAAAGTCAAAATTATAGAATAAAAAAATAATTTTCCCAAATTCAAAAACAGTTTAAGTGCACAAATTTTACTTGTTATCTTTTAGGGTAACTTTAAATGGGACTAAAGATTCGGACGCATAATTATACTTTCATTTTTTAAACAGCAACTTTCACAAATCAAGCATATTTTAAGCAATATCGGTTATAAAGCATTTGAATTAGCACGCTAAGCATTGATTGATGTACATCTTTTTTTTTGGACAACAATTGATGTACATCCATTCTTATTAAACTCTTCTCTAAATATTTTAGAAACCAAAAGACTCTTTAACATAAAATTCATTTGAAGTTAAAGGTAATCTGTTCGGCAAAAAGTAATATTGTAACAATTTTGATATTTGAAGGCAGGATTTAAATAATTCAGGATACACAATATTTAGAGCTCATTGCCTTGCAAAGGAGTTAAAAGGCAAAAATGTCAGTTTATCGTTCAAGATCAGTTTTTTTGGTGGAGTGAGACAAAATGATACTAAGAAAACAAGAGATTTACGACCTATGGTAATTAAAAAGTACAAATAGAATTAAAAAAAAAAGTATAACAAAAGACGATAATATTACTGTTGATAGAGATGTATTATAAAAATTAAAAATTAAAAATCGTGTAGCAAAGAGAAAGGGCCTGTTTGTTTTGTTCTTTTTTTTCTTATTTTCAAAACAATTTTATAAAATTGTTTTTAAGAACAGTTTTGGAAACAAAAAACAAAAAAATTTGTTTGGAAAATAATTTTAAAAAATTACACTTTGACAAGTGGTAGTTATTACCGGTAGTGATAAGTAGTAGGTAATAGAGGAGAAGAAAAAGATTTCTCTAATTTTTCAAAACAAAAAAAATAAAAAACACAAAAACAAAAACAAGAAAACATGTAAAAGTTGTTTTGGTTTTTCAGTTTTTAAAAAAATTTTTATTTTTTTGTTTTTTTAAAACAATCAACTAAAAACAAATTGCCAAACAAATTTTTTTGTTTTTCTATTTTTAAAAACAAAAAATTGTTTTCAAAACAAGAAACCAAACAAGTCCTAAATCTCTTGCCAGGTCATGAAAGACATTTGAGCAAGAATCAACGAGAATACGGATAAAAGACTTCTAAACACAGTAAATAGTAAGTGTTACCGATAACTAGCCGTTGACAACATCTTTGTACTTATATTTTGTATCAAATAGGTTAAAGTTGTGCTAAGTTTAAATTTGAAATTTCATCTAACGTGACGGGTAGCATTGCCACTAGGATAATTATTAGCCATTGACAACATCATTTATACCTATGTCTTAGCCATAAAACAGAGGACCTTGCCACCATCATCAAACATGTGGCACAAGCTGAGGAAGCTGCTGCTTTGTCTACTAATTTTAGTTATATTTAATTAAATTTGAATGCTAACTTGAACAAAGTTAATCACAATGCATTGCATTTAGGTGCTAGTTTGCAGGTTGGAAATGTGTATGGTTGAACTATTTAGAAGAAACATACTTGATTGGAGGTGGGTTACAACAATGAGTTTTCAGTATAAATTAAAACAAATCATATGAAAATGAGAACGAAACAATCATATAATTTCCCACAATACAGAGCAAGCAGCGAAAAGACATAAATCGAATTACTTCTTTACCGGTTAAATGATTTGAAACTGTAATCAATAAATCTCTCAATTTGAAATTAGGAATAACATCACTGGGAAAAGGTCGCAAGGGACTTTCATGACTTGGGTCAATTAAATTTTCTTAGAGCCCGTTTAAAATGATTTATGAGAAGTTTTTCAATCATAGTTTACAAAATATGAGATAAATATATGAGAAAAATTTTATCTCAACTTACATAAAACATGCTTATAAGTTCGTGATTCCAAACGAGGACTTCTATGTCACCCTTATTCAGTCTGTCATTATATTAGGAATACTACTCTGTCCTTTATTATAAGATCTTTTTAACTAAATTATGTGATTTAAGAAAACAGTTAAAATTAGTTAAAAGCAATTAATATGTAGCAAATGCAATTTTTTTTAAATATACCCCTATATATAAATGGGTAGATGTGAGAGAGTAATAGTGAGATAAATGAAGAAAAAGAATGCATTAAATGCATTAAACTAGGGATAAAATACGTAATAATACATTAAATGTTCAGACAAACTCAAAAAAAATCTTATAAAAAGGAACAAACCTATTTAAAAAATTAGACCTTATAATAAAGACGGGGAGAGTAACTTATTAAGATCATTAACTAACTCATTAATTACTTTAACAATGACTAAGCAAATATTGAAACCTAAATTAGGCCCAGATTGACTAATAGACTGCCCCAAAGCATTTAGATTATATTACTAATAATATAATATAATAATTAAAATAGCTAACATTCAATACTTGGAATTGAACGAAAACGCTAGTTTTGAGTTATAATGAATGCTCATCCAACTTTTGTCCCTCCCTGTCATCCCAAACACAAGTATAAACTGAGTTTGAGTTATAATAATAATTATTTAAGTCATAGTCTTTAATCTTTGTAAATTAGAAGTTTTAGGCATTTTTGGTTTATACTTATAGTTTTGTTGAATTATTATATTAGTATTATACCTATTTATTATAAATTATTAATTATCCTTACGGACCCTCATAATAATTATTCTAAAGCAACTGCATATTTATCTAAACATGTGCTTTTCTAGATTTTAGGAATAAATTAGTTAATTTTTATTTTCTCTAGACAATCTTATTTTTCTCTTCTTTATATCTCATTAGAAGTAAATTCCTTTGTTTTTTTAGTTACAAAGATGTCATGTTTCATTTGTTTCATATCTATTATTAGGGAAGAACCAACACAATTTTTCTTAGAGAAAATTAGAGAGAAGAACACATAGAGAATAATATTTACTGAATAGAACCATAAAAATTGTAATTATTTATGAAGACCAAATATCAAAATATAAAATTAAACATACTAAATTGCCCCTCACTAAACCTCCAACATTCTAGCCTCCAGTCTCTCCCACATCTTATTTTGAAAATAATATGAAATTTATTTTCCCCCAAAATTAAAAATGTTAATCATCCACCACAGGATTTTTTTTAACTTTTATTTTCCATTAAGATTCACATAATTATATCATCAATATATCATGTAATTATCAACATATATGTATTTATCTCTTTATATCATTAAGTTATTTTTCTTGATTTATATCATCTAACATAAAATAAACAAAAAATTAAGCACATTTTATATCTTATCAAAACAAGTTGTGTACGTTCAAATGAAGAAAATAAAATGTTGCACAGATGATGTCAAAAATTGAAACATCATAATATATTAATAAAAAATTGAAATAATCTCAATATCAATTTAAGATTTATAAAATGTAAAATTATGAACAAATTAATGTAAATCTGATGAGATTATGAGAAATGAGTCTTATTATTTATAATATATAGTTTTATAAATAGATAGATGGTGTGCTTTGTTAGAATTTTATATTATATATATGTATTATGAGACTCACTCCTAAAAATCATCATTTAACAAAACTAAACCATCCTCTTTTTAAATTTTTGAAAAACAAAAGCCATCTAATTCCCACACACAAAAAATATTATGTTTAAATAAAAAATAAATTATAAAAATTCCTTTAAATTGTTTGAAATTGTATGTTTTTTAATTATATATATATATATATAACCTTCTTTAATAATACACACACATCTATATACTAAATTATAAAAGATTTCAATTTTTCTTAAAATTATATCATTTTTATTTTCAATTAAAGTTTGCATCGATTTGAAAAATAAAATTGTAATTTTGACAAAATTGAACAATGTTTGTGTTATTATTCCAACTAGTATAGTACCCGTGCATTGCACAAGTATGAATTGGTGATCTTTTATGTGGTATAAAAAGTTGAATCATGGCAAAATAATCAGTTGAATATCACATTTCTACTTCAAGTCATAATTTCAACTTAATTTTAAAAATAAAGTATTCATAAATTTTCAAAACATGCAATACATATAGATTTATTATCAACATTTTTTAGAATATGTGATGTACGTGTGTAAATGTATGTTCCTTTAAAAAGATTGAATTAAAAGAGACAAAAAGGATAATGAGTTGAAACTCATACATTTGATTAATTATGTAGGATAATGCCATAGTCAATAATTACATATCAGACAAATATGGTACCTTATTCTATATTATGAAAGTAGGGTATGTAATATAAGAAAAAT